AAAAAAAAAAAATTCAAAAAGTATACAAACGTAACGAAAAAGTACTCGGTGTAAGCTCTCCCCCAAGTTTGGAATCTCTAGTTTACTGTCTAAAAGGAAAGAAATAAAGACGAAGGTAAAATGTACAAACGACCTCTGTTCTGATCCCGTTTCTTGGAAGAAACTTGTGAAGAGTCTTTTCCCTCTGGGAATACAATTTAATCATCTATCGTACAAAAGTATTTGAGCGATATATTCGACAGTCATAATACGTCTTCAAGTAATATTATTATCGTAATAATATCCTAAACACATAAGTACTAATATTATAATTATCATATAATAGGAACATAGCTACAAAAAAGAAGCCGGCAATACAAATCTAATCAATGTACATATTTTTACGAGGCCGTTATCCTCTCGAGATTTCAATTAGAGAAGTTACGATATGAAATTTAGTCTCGGGGCAAATACCTGAGCAATATAACACTGCAAGGAGCATAGGAGCAGTTGTTCTTCCTCTCCTATCTCGTCACGTGTGCAAACAAGCCTCGGAAGCACTATTAAATTACACGAAAAAAAAGGAAAAAAGTATTAACACGATTTGAAAACCAATGGGCCGCCCAAGAGGTTACATCTCCTCAGGTGTAATCCAAAATATGGCGGATGAATATCTATCCAACAGACAATTGTGCAATTATTTAATTGCCAATTGTAAAATCTGTCGGCGAAGTATTTTTGGGGAAACAATTCCTCTTTTTCTCAACTGTCCTTAAATATTTTCGTTAAATACTATAAGCTAAACTAATGATTTCTATTCAAAACTCCTTTGTGAAAATTAACGTTAAATCTACTCGTTGCTACTGGCCACGGAAAAATATACGTACAACGCAAAAAAAAAGAAGTTCCGATTACTCGAATTTGACCTACCAAACAGAGTATAAAGGATATACTAAATGTTCTGGATACTATATATCTCACCTAATTCAACCCGAAATTTCAAAAGCGAACTCGCCGCAGAGAAAACCAATGTGTTCACTCGCTCGTTCATCCGTGATTAAATATGACAAAACGATACGTGCTTTATTCGATTCGACTTGGCACGCTCGTTCAGCGTGCAATGGACGTCCCAAAACGAAGCACACGCGTCCCGAGGAGGAAGATCGGTGAAACGGACAAACAAAAAAAGCCGCTGCCTGGAAAGAGCTACGAATCTAACCATCAGTCATCGAAGTACCGAACAAAAGAAGGTAAACATTGCGAGTGATCTCTCTGTTTCGGAGACTACCAAACGAAACTCACGGCTAGATACACAGGAACGAGACGACTTTGCAAGCCTGTCAATTTCATCGACCTAAGCCTTAAAGATCAATACTTGATTTCACTTTTCAATTATTTCGATCACTGCTCGAAAACGATGTCTAATAAATTAAAAGTATAATGAACGAGCTGCAAACTTTCGTGTATATTCTGCATGTACTTAATCGTTATTGAATAATCAAGTATTGGTCTCTCTTTTCGATCGTTTAAGAGAAGTTGGCCTTAAAAAAAAAAAAAATACTTTTATGATTTCGGATAAACGTTAGTAAAGTACAAACGCAGTCTCTACGTTACATTTGGTATAGATAAGTAAAACTGCGTAAATGCTTAAAGTCAGAATTATGATCTAGTGTAAGAATTGCATCGTTTCGTTTCAACTCAATTAAGTATTATAGTATACTCTCTGTCAATTGACGTGTCTCGATAAAAGAATTTTCGCTCCAAACTTTTAAGATTGGAAAACGTGATCTGCTTTTGTTAAACGATTTACGTACGGTCAATGTGTGGTCTACAATTCTGAACAATAAGTTTAATTTTGTTTAATCATACTTATTGGCTGTTGCGTAAAATCTCTTATAAGAACTTCTCCTTATTAACATTATCACAGTATTTGTTTCAACCAATCACGTTCATCAACTCGTTTTCACATCGGCGTAAAAATTCGTTGAAGTATAATCTTAAGACGTTATTGTCAATGCGTGTAAACTTACATGAATAAAAAGGAAGAGAAAAAAAAAGGGGGAAAAAGAGAAGAAATTCTCGTATCAAGTGCTGGCTCGAGAAAACCGGTAAAATTACATTCATTTACGAATAGATATTTCTTCGTAATATCACATGGAAGAAATTTGTTGCGGGAAAACAAGTTTGGTGAGAATATATGGCACATTTCATATATAAATAATCCCTACAACTATAAAAGCCTGTAAATTCCTACAGCAATAAGATCTTTGGATCCAGCCTCTCGATTCATTTTACAAGTTAAACGATTCTCACACTTTCTCTAATTTCCTTTCCAGGACGTATTGCACTGAATGAGAAGAAATAAATACGATGTGAGAAAGAGGAAATCAAAGATAGTCGAGTGAAAGAAATTCCAGCGCGGCTACTCAACGTAATGGCAACTTTGTTGCACAAGTCGTTGCCAATAGCTGGAACTTATATTCCTGTAAGGCACTTCGTTCGTTTTCAATATTTGGTATGTTCAATTGGAAAGGTGCGCGACGGTAAAGATTACCTGTCAGCAGATGATACCGAAATGCTCGAATCGCTGAACTTTGAAGTACCACTTCAAAGTTCTCAAAGAATACAGCAGATATTTGTAATGTTTTATGGCACGACGATGATTACACGTTCCGGTTCCAGCGCCATGTGCGTTTTACTTGACGCGTCGTTTGCCCATGGAGTTTCTTAACAGCTTGAATGCGTTCACCGTCGTCAACGTTCCTGGATTCTTTGGACTCTTCGGGCAATACTTAACCGTGTGTGCCACGTCTCCGTACGCGCCACAAATTGGACACGTGTAGGCCCTAATGATACACAGAAAAAATTGTGTGAATACGGATTTGCGACTTTTAACACTTGACAAGTTTCTTTTCAACCACTTTCCACTGTACTCAATATTCTGTTACATTCTTTTTTTCTAAACATGTAATAACTGCACAATTAATTTCCTCCTGCTCTTGCACAATAATTTACCAATTAATAACATTAATGAATTTTGAGCTTATACAGTTCATTTTCAAACAGAATAGTCAGGCAACTTGTTACTTGAAAAATTTTATCATCAAACTTGTTTTTATCCATAAGCAAGTTGTAAATATGAGATATATACATTCATCCAAATTGTGACAGACCTTGGAAGTAGTTTATTGGACATGAACAAACTAAAATGAAATATCGAATGTTGTTTGAATCGCAAAGAGTTAAAAAGAAAATATATGGAAATGTAGAAGTTTGATTTACCTCAAAACTGGACAGCAGACACGGCCATCAGCGTCTTTCAGCAAATGTTTCCGGTAATAAGCTTCCTCTTCGCCATTGTTTCTACAGAAAACGCATTCTGTGGGCAAGGGTTTCTTGTTCTTCTTACGACGTGGTGTCGTTTCTGGTATTATATCATTGTCCAGATCTGGACAGTATTCAAAATCACGCCCATTATGACGGAATTCCTCCATTACGTCCTCGACTAAATTAGTCAAACAACGTTACATGCGTTTTGTCAATGTACATAAAAAGGAAAAAAAGAAAAACAGATAAAAGTAATTGAACTTATACAAAGTGTGAAGAATATGTAAGAATTTGTCATCAAAAAAAGAAAAAAGAAAAAAAAAGAAAACATTCTGAGATCATTCTCAGTCATCGAAACTTTTCGAAGATGATCGAACTAATTAAAAAGGAACACAAGCTCGCGCGATAAGTGTCTAGTTTATTTTCGTCGAAGTTTTTTCAAAGCCTAATGCGACAAAGCATAAGTCCAGAAAATAACGGACGTAAAGTCTCGGGTTTCACAGTTTGTAAACAGATTCGTCCTAATTTTTCGAGCGACGAAAAACCGATGATACGTTTAATCGAACACACGTATTATTTCTAATAATTATTATCGTTGCCGAGAACTGAAAGCCATCAAGAAATTATAAAAATAATATTTATAATATGTTTTTCAACAATAAAGTTTCTATATTCTCATTGCAAATCGATGAGTCATAGATCGAGATACGCGTCATTGCCGTCACCATCATCATCTCTCTCCTAAACGTAAATCAAACAAATCGAGCAAATCAAGCAAAAAATGCGTGATTTTCTGTTTACATTTACGTGATCTCGAACATCAGTATCGCGACAAGATCATTTGTACTTTTTCTTCCCTTTCGTTTGTTTTTCTCCTTGAAGAAACAAATGGTCGACAAAACTACATATTACGTGTTTGTACAGCATTAGTAAAGCACAAATTAACAAATAGACGATTTAATAATTTAACTTGATTTGATTTTATTTATTTTTTTCAACATAGTTCGATGAATTCGATTGAAAGATCGTGAACGCCAAGTTATTCCACGAAACGTTTTAGACTCGGAATTCCTCTTATCGATTTGTTTGTTTACAAACTATGGAAGGTGTCTACTAATCGGAACGTGATCTTATCGCGCACCAAGATCCACACACGCGATTTCAAATTGGAATTATAAACGCGATGTTGAAACTTCAAATTCATCGCTGTGATCACCAACTAACCTATTAAATGTTAATCATCAAATGACTGATCTACCAAGAAGAGAGATGCAACATAAATGATGCAACATGTTTCCGTGTGGTTCGATGCGACGTGATTTTCTCGCTTTTAACAAAACAAATGATCGTAAATGACAGTTTAAGTAAGTCGCAGAGAAGTCATAACGAGAAAATGATTGTTGTGATGAACCTGAAGGTTATTTGTGCTAGTAAATACGATTTAATAAAGGAAGGAAATATTTACGAAAATATTTTGACACAAGAGTTAGAATTTGTCGTGA